CATCACAGAACATACCAGAGCAGATCATGGCATAACAGAACACGACATGGAACAACCTAGCATAACATAACCGAGCATAACATAACACGTCTTAACATAACATAACATACCATGATGCAACATCGAACATATCATAACACGGCAGCAGAGCATAACGACACATACTAGCAGACCAAAGCAAACGAACATCTACAGTGTCGGGACGTCAACAAGCAGAACAGCACAGAACATCTCAAAGCAGAACAAGAACATAACAGAAGACGACATAATACAACATAACATACACACGCCGAACATGTCATAATACACCTTTACATAACAGATCGCATCATGCCACAGCATCAGAGATCAGCCCATAACACGACAGCAGAGCATCGCGACGACGAACACGACAGGACACAGCATGACACAACATAATATGGCACAATAGGACACGAGCATGACAGAACAGGAAATGCCAATGTCATGACAAAGTAGAGCATGGCAGACCATCACATAACATATCATAGCATAACATGACAGAACAAGAGACACCATAACACAACGCAACAGAACCGAACCGAGCATAACACAACACATCTTGACATAGCATAACATACCATGACACACTATCACATAACATAGCATAAGACAAAAGTAGAGCATAGCGACGCCTACTAGCAGAGCAGAGCATACTATATTGTACAGAGGAGGGCCGTCAACAAACATATCACCACATAACATACCAGAGCAGAACATGACATAACAGAAGACGACGTATCGCAACATAACATAACACAGCCGAGCATAATACAACAAACCTGGACATTAGCGAAACATACTACCAGAGCATCAACAGCATCACGAACCGAGCATACCACCACATCGTGCTACTGAGCAAATCATACCGTAACTTTTCCAAACATCTGGTGGCAAAGATGAGGACAATATAACACACTCAAAGGAAACACATATCAATCAAGAAAGACATCGTAACAAACGGCACATCTACCGTCACAGGCGTGGCGACGTCACGCCGGCCCGTCGAGAACAGGACAGAACATAATAGAACAGAAATAACGCGACTACATGGAAAACGGTTGAACAGTTTTTGAATACAGAAGCGGCAAGTGTGCAGTGGTGGGAGGAGGATGAGGACCAGTAGGGAGGAGAGGTCCGCCTCACCTCCCTCTGCTTCCTCTTCCTCCGTCGTCCGCCTCCTCCTCCTCCTGCTCCTCCCGCTGACGCTCTTCCCCATTCTTCTTTCACCAGGCTGCGGGCGGCTCTCGATCTGTTTCGCACCGCACGTTTTCGAAACTTGTTGCTTCGGCACGGGGGTTCTTTCAATTTCTTTCGCCCAAAAGAAAGCTGGGGTTGCTGGATTTGGAGACAACGGAAATCGCCACCCAGCCCGACCGCCGCACTGTCCGAGACCACAAGGCCCCGCGCGCAGCGTCCCACCAAATTGGCGACCGCGCGCCGTCGGAAACAAACGCTTGCGGTTTCGGTGGGGGTCGCTCGAAGCAAACTATTCGATTATATGTGCTCGAGGCATTCGGCTTCGATACCCTCACGAAACCTAAGTTCTTGGAAAGATTGTGGCATGCGCGCGCAACGAAGCGCGCTTGTGCACTTCGCTCCATGTTTTGATGCTGCTGCGCTTCGTTCCATCTGTTGCAGGGGGTTCTTGCGACAGCACGCACGCAAAGGCGATCGACTGAATTCGGCATGCGCGCGCGGGAGGTGCGCCTGGCCGCATGTGATGACATGTTGACAAATTTTTGTTTTTTCTTAAACTCACGAAGCGCGAGCGCAGGCTTTTCTGAATACTCATGCAGCGAAACCATCGTTTTTCCAACCGTCCTGTGGTGTGGGGTCCTCGTTTTGATGATACGGTCCCCGCGTTCCTCCTCTCCTCTCCTCCTCCTTCTCCTCCCCCGCTCCTCCCTCCGATCGCCCTTGTCTCTGCCCTCGACATGTCAACTAGTCCGGCACTCCCGTCACCCTCCTCGCTTTGGCACACCCCTCACACGCTGCATGGCCCAAGGGGAGCTCCACCGAAAGCCCCAGCGGCTGCGCCCGCATGCCGCTACCCCCCTTCACTTTGGCACACCCCTCACACGCTTCGTGGCCCCATAGGGAGCTCCGCCCAAGGCCAATGATTGCGCCCGCATGCCGCCACCGCCCTCACTTTGGCACACCCCTCACACGCTTCGTGGCCCCATAGGGAGCTCCGCCCAAGGCCCCAATGATTGCGCCCGCATGCTGCCACCCCCCTCACGTTGGCACACCCCTGACACGTTTCGTAACCCCATAAGGAGCTCCACCGAAGGCCCCAGCGGCTGCGCCCGCATGCCGCCACCGCCCTCGCTTTGGCACAGCCCTCACACGCTTTGTTTGTAACCCCATAGGGAGCTCCACCAGATGCCCCAGTGGCTGCGCCAGCATGCTGCCACCCCACCCCCAGCTTGCACACCCCTCACACGCTCCGTGGCCCCATAGGGAGCTCCACCGAAAGCCCCGGTGGCTGCGCCCAGATGCCGCCACCCCCTCACTTTGGCACACCCATTCACACGCTTCGTGGCCACATAGAGAGCTCCACGCTCTACCGAAGGCCCCAGTGACTGCGCCCGCATGCCGCCACCCCCTCTCCCTTTGCCACACCTCTCACACGTTTCCCATAGGGAGCTCCACCGAAGGCCCCGATGCCAGCGCCTGCATGCCGCCCCCCCTCCCTTTGGCACACCCCTCACACGCTTCGTGGCCCCATAGGGAGCTCCACCGAACGCCCCAGTGGCTGCGCCCCCATGCCGCTACCTCCCTCACTTCGGCACACCCCTCACACGCTGTGTGGCCCCATAGGGAGCTCCACCGAAGGCCCCAGTGGCTGCGTTCGCATGCCGCGCCACCCCCCACTTTGGCACACCCCTCACATGTTTCGCCTCACACGCTTCGCGTCCCCATAGGGAGCTCCACCTCATGCCCCAGTGGCTGCGTTCGCATGCCGCGCCACCCCCCACCTTGGCACACCCCTCACACGTTTCTTAGCCCCAGAAGGAACTCCACCGAAAGCCTCCGTGATGCAATTCGCATGCCTTCTCCCGCCTCGCCCGGTGCTTGACAGCCGCAACGGGTTACAGCAACCCGTTCCGTCTGACCTCCCCGCCCCACTTCGGCGCTCCCTTCACACGCTCCGTGGCCCCGTAGAAAGCTCCACCGAAGGCGGTCTCACAACGGCGGTAATCAGAACTGCATCTGTGTTGGTCCTTCGCCAGCGTGATTATATGTGTCAGGACACTCGGTGTCAAAACCCTTACGGAACCTAAGATTGTTGAAGGAGTTCGCGATGCGCGCGCGACGATGCGCGCGTGCTCACTTCGCCCCGTCTGCTGCAAGGTATTATTAAAACAACATTTGAAGGCAAAGACGTGCGCGCGCACTCTATTTTTCCAAAAAGTGAGGGGAGGGTCGGTACCGGTTTGGCTGGGATCATATGAATCAGGTTTCGAATGAGCGATGGGGCAGAATCGCACGTACATTGCACATCGCCATGGGGACGGATAAGTCCAGCCTCGCGAGGGTGATGGATCCCTACAATTTAGAACTGAGAATACAAATATGGTCGCAACGAATTGTCAACTCCACCACCCACCCATCCGCAACAAACGTACACATGCAGTAACACTTTCTCTTTAACGAATAAAAGAAACGCAGAACACCATGAAGATGACCCCACATTGCGCGGGGACCGTGGGGGTGGAACGCTTCCACGAACTGGCGCGGCGTCTGCAGTGCCTGCAGATGGTGGCCGCAACAGACCTCCTGCCGCAACCACGCTGCCTGCACTTCCAGCGCTGCGTCGAAGAAATTGATCCGAGGTCGCAGAAGACGAGGGATGTATCCGCCCGCCATGGTTGTGGTGAGGAGTACCAGGACTTCGTGCCATCAGGCTTGCCAGCAGGTGCCCATCAACTGAGAAATCGGCTCGCCAGCAGGTGCCGCGCGGAAGGTTCTGTCCCCCAGTGGCCCCTCAGAGACCAAGACAGGCCCTGGGGCCTCGCAGGACCCTCAACGACTCACGACGAGTGCACCCCAGGGGTCCTCTGGCTGCAGATATTGCTGCATCCGATGCGCCTGTTGCGCCCGCTGCACCCGCACCCACGCAACGGCGCCGCGCGAAGGCTGGAGGAAACGCGGGAGCACATCGGCCGAGCCGCTGGCTCGGCCGCCGCCGTGCCGCTCCGAGCTGGCCCGGGCGGGCGTGGGAGGCGGCTGGGCGGCTCGCCTCCGCCGCGGCACCGGGGCCGCGCGGCGCGGGGCCGCCCTGCCGGGGCCTCGGGCTCCCTGGAGGGCCAGGCGCGCGGACGCGGCGGGCGTCCCCCGCACTCTCTCTCTCTCTCTCTCTCTCTCTCCCTCTCTCCATCTCGCTCTTTTTTTTGTTTCTTTCTCTCTCTCTCTCTCTCCATCTCTCTCTGTCTCTCTCTCTCTCTCTCTCGGATGGTTAAAATGCCGTTCTGAACCGCGCGCCTGCAACATCCGTATGGGCGCAGAGCGGCTGCCAGAGGAACGGGGGACGAGCCACCGCCACGGAGAGCGGACCATCCTTTTCACTATCTGGGCGGCTGGGTGGGCAGGGCCCGCAGCCGCGCCTCCCAGGACGCCGTCGACCAGGCCGCGGAAGCAGAGGAAGGGGAAGAAATCGGCAGGAGATCGGCATGAAACGTACGCAATCGTACTAAGAGAGGGGGCTTACACTGGGGAGAGCATTTTGAAAGCGATCCGCCCTCCATCTGAGAAGCTGTTGCCAACTTTCCGGCGTGAGGATCTTAACTGGTAGGGACGCCTCAGGCGACACGCCCGGCCTGCCCTTCCGACTGGCCTCGGGGCGCGGCAGGGAGGAGTCATTCATAAGACAAGCGAATGGAGTCAGGGGGCGACTGAGGGGACGAGGGAGGAGGGGGGAGGGGAGGGGCAAAGGAGGAGGATGAGGAGCAGGAGAAGGACGAGGGTCTTGGCAAGTCCTGCTCGTCCCGCTCCAGCGCAGCCTCGGCGCGTTCCTCGCGAGCAAGGGGCGCGTCCCCAATGCATGCCTTGGCGGTCTGGATCCCCAGGCCACTCCCACGGATACGCGATCCCAGCGACGCTGACGTTCCGCACGGGGCATCAGCGCAAAACCGCTCTGTATCGGTGGGATCGCGGCCTAAGAACCCGGACCGCGAGGCCGTGGATATGGATATTGCCCGCTGCGGAAAACCCGATTCCAACAATCAATGTTGACGTATCAATATTGCCTCCGCCGCCTTCCGACATTTCGCCAACTCCGGCCGGCGGACTAGCCTGTTGCCTACTGCCGCTGGCCGTCCGCGACCATCCGCCAAGGAAGAGCGATATCTACCTTTCGATCCCCGAGGCCATTTCTGGAGCGCCCCCTGTGCTTCTTGCCATTTCAATCGGCGGGCCCCAAAGGGATCGACCCCTCCCCCGGGGGAGGGGGTCTCCCGCCGCGGGTCCACTCTGGATGGCCCCGGGCCCGAAAAGCAGCCCCCCCCGGGAGGCCGAGATCGGGAGACAACGACAGCCCAGGATTGCCCCGCAGGACTTCGAGTAGGGCGAGGGGAGGCAACGGCGGCTCAGGATCCCCAGCCCCCTCCCTGGGCGCGAACGAGCCAGCTCTTCAATCTGCGCCCAGCCGTGGCGGCGAGGGGGCACCCCGAGAGCCAACTGCCGCTGTCTCAACTCGCCCTCCTCTGCTGCATGGCCACGAGCCCAGCAAGCACCCGCAAGCTCCTGCGCTTCCTTCATCGCGGCCAGCCTCTGCGCCGACTCCTCGAACAACATGAGCCGTTTCTGCGCGAGCACCTTTTCCTGCGCGTCCGTGAGCCGCTCCTGCTCCTCGAGCTGCTTCGCCTCCTGGCCAGGAAGCGCACGGACGACAGGATCCGGCCTCTTCTCCGCCAGCCTCGTCCTGCTGCTCCTCCTCTTTCTCCTCCTCCTGCTCCACTGCCTTCTCGACCTCCTTTTGCTCATCCTCCCCCTCGTCCACCACTTCCTCCTCCTCCCCCTCCTCCTCCTTTTTTCATCTTTTCCTCCTCCTCCTCCTCCTCCTCCTCCTCCTCCTCCTCGTCCTCCTCGTCCTCCTTCCTTCTTCCACCTCCTCCTCCACTTCTCTCCTCCTCCTCCTTCTCCTCCCTCCTCATTGTCCCTCCTCCTCCGCCTCCTCCTCCTCCACCTCCTCATCCTCCTCCACTTCCTCCTCCTCCCTCCCCCCATTCCCCCTCCTCCCTTGCTTCCGTCTGTTTCTGATCACCCCTGTCAAATTCCTGATCCCCACCATAAGAAATGAGGGAACAAAAACGTCCCAAGGGGTAGATTCCATATGTCCACCACGTGCCTTTCACCAGAGAGATATGGGGTCAAGTTGCAGGTAATTTGGTGATTGTCCTTCTGACCCTTCTTCCCATCCTCCCGCTCCTACAAAAAACCAAGCGGGTTGAAGAAGAGAAGGATGATGAGGAACACGGGGCGGGGGTGGGAGAGGGAGGGGATGTGTTTTGCCCGCGGGGCTCCAGCTGCAGTGAAAGAAGGGCGCGGGAAGAGCCACCCCAGCGCAGATACGGGTTGCAACGAAGGCCTAACTCTGCGTGAAACTGCAAGGCGACCTGCAGCTCTCTGAGGCAGCCGAGTGTTGCGGCTCGGTTTGCAGGGTAGACCCAGGAGCCAGGAATTGCGGGAGGGCGCGTGACTCATTCCTGCCCGCGACGCCTTACGTAAGAGGCGTAAAGAAAGAGAACCGGACATGTGCGAGCCAGCAGTCCGATGTCCAGAGGAGAGAGGCGCAGCCTGTGTCGTGGCTTTCACGCCACAAGCTAGAGCAAGAGTCCTGCGCGACACGTCCACCTGTCAGCAGGCTTTGCAGCACTACCCGTGGCACTGACCAAGCCACGGGCAGCATGAGAAAAGACGCAAGGAGGGGCAGCGGAATAAAGTGAGGTCCCGCCATGTGAAGTGGTTCAGCGTAGCCTGCCCCTCAAAACAAAAACTCAATAAGAATCGCTCTCCGCTGCTTGGCGAAGAAGCGCCACCAAGGGGCGCTCGTCCTCCTCGACGCGGAGGGACTCGGTCAAGGTCAAGCTGGGGCCATGGGAACAAGCTGCTTCCTCGAGGGAAGGGCATCAGATATGGTGGGGACACCTCCCGCAAGCCCAATGCCACTCCCACCTTGCGAAGGCATGGCCAGCACATCTCGAAGCGGCAAGGAGGGGCGACGCTTGTCCTCTCTGGAAGGCGGTCTTCTCATCGAGTAGCTGGGCTGCGCGCTGCGCTGGCCTAGTCGGCCCCTGCTGCAAAGGTCACCGTCCGAGGATGGAGGCGAGGCCTGGGCCCTGGCCGGCGCGAGCGGCACATGCTCGGAGCTACTAGCTCTAAGAATGTCGCTTGAACCGGCACGCGCGCCAGTCTTCCTGGGATCAGGGCGCCTGTCTCTTGATGTGTAGTACCAGGTTGGCTTCTGTCGCGGCTGCATCACCCTCAGACTGCGCCGATCGCGCAGGTTGCTCTCGGGGGGGTGGGGGGGCGCCGACGCAGAAAACACCCAGTGATCGCACGCGAAAAGAGGGCTGCCATCGTTGCAAACAAGAGCAAGTATGTAATGCCCGAGATCCGTGACTTTGCACAGATCAGTATGCCTGGGCTGCCCGCTGAAGCTTCGGTTTGGAGCTTTCTCGAGATGCGCGGAGTCTCTGCTCGGCTTGCAACCTTCTGTACATCTCTATCTTCGAGCCATCCACTGGGACTTGCACTGTCTACTGGCCCGAGTGCGCTCGGGAGGCGCGGGGTCGCAGGCGGTCCTTTGTCGAGGGGGTGGGTGGGGGGGGGGGGGGGGCCCGGCAACTTCGTCGCCAGGGCGCAGCAAGCACGGGCATGACTGTTGCTCATGTCGGCGCGCTCTTGAACATATGCCTCGGCCTCGGCGCGTGAAACCGCCGCAGCTGTTGCGCCGATGTCAGCAACGCAATAACATAATTACTGCGCGCAGAAGAAGGTCGATTTCGATCAGCCTCTCTTCGTTCAAAGATTGATGGGCCTTGGTCTCAGTGCGGCTGGCGAGAACATTGCGCCTTTCAGCGCTCCGAGCCAGGGTTGCATGACCTCCGCGCTGCCATCTGAAATGTTTCGCTCGTTCCCGAGGGTCAGCAATCGGAAATCGGAATACCTCGGCAATCGGAAATGCATGCGCTGGGGCCGCGCTGGGGCCGGCTACGCGCATGATCGACGACGCCCGTCAGCGCGCGGAACTCAGCGCCCTGGGGCGACTGGGGTAGGGGGGGGGAGCCAGACAAGGCACTGCATTTTACAAGCTCGGGTGCTGCCTTGACAAAAAGCGCAGCTCCATTCAGTCCGCGTCAGCTCGCTAATCGGGCGGGCAGCGCTGCTGTCGTCGATGAACAACTCTCCGATATCCACGATATCTGGCCGAGCTACCGTGCGCCGCGCGGCCCGCCGAGAACCCTCGGCCACCGCGGGGGAGCGCTCGTCTCCAGGATTTGGGCAGCCGCCGCGGGCCATCGTGAAGAAGGAAGCTTACGACCACCACGAAACAATCAACGTCCTCGAGGATCCCTGCGCGCACGGGCATTTCCATCTGCGACGGAACAAGGCATTAGAACTTCCACGGCCCGAGGGACAATCTGGCAGGTGGTCGCGCTCCTTTCCCCTGGCGCACTGCCGGGTCCAGGTCGCGCCAGGCCGCGGGCGGGGAGGGCGCAGGGGGCCGCGTCGCCTCGATCCGCAACCAAGGTGGCGGAATTGAGCGCGTCCAAGCCGAGCCTCTGGAAGCCCCCGCGCAGCGCTGACGCGGGGCCCGAGACCGAACGCCAGGTTTCGAGAAAGGGCCGCCAGACGCGTTCCCACCCGCGCGCAGGATGGAAAATGAACGGCGGAGCGATGGGTCTGAATGCGAGCGCACCAAAACTCCTCCTGCCAGGAAATCAGCGGCGCCAGCTGCGCAGCCCAAGTCGGGCCCTGCTCAAGCAGGAGAAGGGTTGACCTGGCAGACGGCTTGAGGGCCGATGCATAGCCCGCCGCAGGGCGAGCAACTCGCCGCCCGGATCCCATGCACTTCGGCACCATGGGCGGCCACGGGAAGGGGGGCAGCCGCCCGGGTGTTTCTAGCTGTGGAGAAGCGCCCCCTGGAGCACACGAATGTCTCAGCACTCGCCGACGCCTTTCCCTGCCCCTGTTTCGCTGAAGAACCCTCTCCGCGCCGGCGGGGAGGTGGCCCGCGACGTCGTCGACGCCGAGGCTGGTGCAATGGCGCAAGCGGGCGGGGCAGTCAGAGACGCCCCAAGGTCCGCCTGGGCCGGGGGCCCGAGGTTCATGTTGGAGCAGAGCAGGTCAGCTTTGTCCTCCGCAATCTTGGCCCCCACGCCCCCAGAGACCACGCGGCGAAAGTGCCTGCCCCCTCCCGCGACGCCCTATTCGGCTGAATCATGGCATTCCGCAGCGCGGGGACCGCCACCGCCAGCGCGCATGAAGACGGCGGCTGCGACAAGGGGCCCGTATTATGCGATCGGGGCCGCCCGCGGAGTTCACGCCGACAAGCGCGGCGGCGATAGGACATCCCGCAACCGCGACCAGGCGGGCAAAAATGGCAGGCGCAATGCGACCCCGGAGGGAAACGCACCTGGGGCCTCATTACGCGTTGCAAGCGAGTCTCGCAAGTCCAACTTGGAAGCCGTATTCCACGCTTCTGGCCCCGACCTGGGCAACGCGCGAACTCTCGCAATACCTGTGGGAATCCCATCAGAGCGCGCAAGCGAACTGTCTGGCAGCGATGCCACTTTTCGACTGGAGGGCTGCCGTCGCACAGCATCCGCAGCCCCCAGGAATCTTTCCCGAAGCAGTCTAGGGGCAAGGACGATGCACGACCCGCGTGGCGGCAAATGGGCGCCTCGGCATAGCCTGGGAACGGCGCGGCCCCGCGCGCGCGCCGACGGGTCGAAATCGCCCGGCGGGATTCGGGAGGGGGTGGGAGGTGATGGCGCGGAGCTCAAGGGGCAAGAGCACAGCTGATCACACGCGCTCTGCACAGCCCGCGCAGGCATTCCAGCGAGCCATCGCTAAGCCAAAACAAATGCTGCAGGCGGAGCCCGTCCGCGCCCACAGCTAAAATTATTTTCCGCATGTTCTGCGGAAGTCGTAACGTCTGCAATGGAGGGCGCGTCAAGTTTTGGGGCGAGCGCAGATTCTCGCCGGGGGAATTGGAGGGGGGCAACGCGGCTTTCCAAGCAGCATGAAACTTATGCGATTCCGACTTGGGGATGCTGACGGGGTTACTCACAATGGAATCACCACCAACGACAACGGTCGTCGCGCTCCCTGGTCTCGCAAACGAGGTGGCCATGAGAACCCGTGCAGCATCCTGCTAGGTGTCCGTCTTGATCCACGCAGATCAGCCCTCGCGGCTGGCAGCCCTGCCAAGCGCGCTGAAACCTCTACTTCGCATTGGGGCTGAGCCAGGGCGCCCTAGCTCTCTCGCAGCGCGGCAAGGTCCCTGCCCTCGGAACTTCTGGGAACTCCAGCGCGCGCGCCCGCGCTGGGGATCTGGATTCAATGCGCCATTGAAGTCGGCTTTATCTGGCGCGACGCCGGCTGGCAAGGCGCGAGTGCCAGCGCTGGCTCGTGAAAGAATCTGAAACTTCTGGACAAACCGCTGATGCGCATGCATCTGTTGTGCCCAGGGGGCCCCGCGCCCATCGACGATGGTTGTCCAAGCGATGTTGGCCCTGGGGCCCTGGGTGCCACTTCCGGCGGGATGGCCCCTGGCCGCGGCGACGAGCTCTTTCTTTCCTCCGCAGGCCCGGGGTCTGCGCGCTCGCACGAGACGCCGGCGGGCGCCAGCCCCCATGCCC